TTATGCCATCACAGGTAACTGGGTTCCCTCTTTACAGTTTATGGAAGGGCTGCCCCTGTTCAAAGTTCTCAGGTCAAGGCTGCCAATTCCAAAAGAGGAGGAGAGGGTGATATGAGTTCCTTTTGCTTTCTGTCACATTGCAAGTGTATATATTGCATTGTTTATATGTACTCTTGCAATGTGAAAATATGCACTTGTAATGTGAAATTGACTGTTATAGTGAAAATTATCTCATTCTTCTCTGTTTAATCTACTGGCAGTACTTCATTTGTACACCTAGCATGATGTCATTTAGCCTTCACTTGATGCATATAAGAAATTTATATATTACATTGGCCACAATGCATAAGATGGTACTATGTCATTTTCATCATGTTTAACCAAAATTTCAAGTTATTAAATACAGCATTTTTATGAAAATGTCTAATTAATGTAAATACTATAAAAACTTACTTTTTTCTGCAAAACTGATAAAATTATTCCACACGTGTACGATTATAATGACTTTAAATTTAAGACATGTGAAGTTAACATAAGTCTAACATGACATGTTTTTCCATTCATAAATATTACATGTTGTTACTATGGGTATTCTCTGATATACAGTAAACTGGAACATGGCAATTAACACTGTATGACAAGATCCAGAATAATCTTACATTAGACAATCATAAAATATAAACATATACTTTAAAATTCTCCTTGAACTCTTAGATTCATTTGAAAACTTTAACATAATATATTTAAAACATCTCGGCTAATACTATACTTTCAAGGATCATTTTGATAATTAGTTGAAATATCTAGGTTGACAGCCTGAATAGACAAAGCAATCATCATAACTAGACCAAGATATGACATAGATGTTACAACTAGACAGAGAAAGCCGGGCGCAGTGGCTCACGCCTGTAATCCTAGCACTTTGGGAGGCTGAGGTGGGTGGATCACCTGAGGTCAGAAGTTCAAGACCAGCCTAGCCATCATGGTGAAACCCCGTCTTTAAAAAAAAAAAAAAAGAACTAGACAGAGAATATTATAATTATGATATTCATACTACTATATTAATATAACATAAAGATCAAAGGAATAGAATATATAGCCCAGAAATAAATGCACTCATATACAGTCAATTGATTTCTGACAAAATTCAAATTCAATTCAACAGAGAAAATACAGTGTTTTAAACAAATGGTACTGGAAAATTTGACAAAGAATGAAAGAAAGAACAAAAGAAAGGAAGAATGAAAGAAAGGAGAGGAAGAGAGAAATAAGAAAAGGAAAAGGAAAGGAAAGGGAAAAAGAAAAGGAAAGGAAGGGAAAGAAAGGAAAGGAAGGGAAAGAGGAAGGACCTCACATCTATGCAAAAATGAACTCAAAGAGATCATACACCTCAATGTAAAATGTAGAAATTTAAAACTTCTAGAAGAAAAACAGCATTATGTATGATTTTGGGTTTGGTAATGAATTTTTAGATGGAAGACCAAAAGCACAATCCATAAAAGGAAAAATGTGATAAACTGGACTCATCAAAATTAAAAACTTTGGCTTTTCCCCCAAACTTGCCCCTGTCTCCAAAATGCTGATAGTGGAATAAGAATACAAGCCACAGACTGGGAAGAAAGTTCCAAATCATATATCAATAAAGGACTTCCAACCAGAATATAAAGAATTCCTAACAAGAAAAACCAATAACCCAATTTTAAAAAGAGAAAAAGAGATCTGAGTAGAATCTGTACAAAGAAGATACGCAATAGCTCTGTACGAAGAAGATATGCAAGTGGCAAATAAGCATATAAAAAGATGCTCATGATAGTCATTGGAAAAATGAAAATGAAAACTACAGTAAGATACCTCAACATACCTATTAGAATAGCAACTTAAAAAAAAAAAAAAGATAATTCCAAATGCTGCTTAAAACACGGTGCAACATGCACACTCATTCATTCCTTGTGGTAATGCAAAATGGTACAATGAGTTTGTCAGTTTCTTACAAAGTTAAACATACTCTTATCATATGACCCAACAAAACCACTCCTGGGTAATTACCAAAGTGAATTGAAAACTTGTATTTATAGAAACCTATACATGAATATGTATGGCAGCTTTGTTCATAATTACCAAAAACCAGAAGTAACTAAGATATCCTCAAGAGGTAAACAGATGAACATATTGTGGTATATCATGCAATGGAATACTACTCAGCAATAAAAAGAAATGAACTATTGATTCACACAAAAACACAGATGAATCTTAAATACATTTTTGCTAAGTGTAAGAAGCTAGACCTAAAAGACCACAGCCTATTTTATTCTATTAATAGGACATTCTGCAAAAGGCAAAGCTATAGAGACATGGGCTGGGCGCGGTGGCTCACGCCTGTAATCCCAGCACTTTGGGAGGCCGAGGCGGGTGGATCACGAGGTCAAGAGATCGAGACCATCCTGGTCAACATGGTGAAACCCCGTCACTACTAAAAACTACAAAAAATTAGCTGGGCATGGTGGCGCGTGCCTGTAATCCCAGCTACTCAGGAGGCTGAGGCAGGAGAATTGCCTGAACCCAGGAGGCGGAGGTTGCGGTGAGCCGAGATCGCGCCATTGCACTCCAGCCTGGGTAACAAGAGCGAAACCCCGTCTCAAAAAAAAAAAAAAAAAAAAAAAAAAAAAAAAAAAAAAAAAAAAAAAAAAAAAAAGCTATAGAGACAGATAACCCAGATCAGTGGTTGCCATGTGTTGAGAAGAGGTTGACTGCAAAGGGGCCACACAAGACATTTTTAGGGTAATAAAACAGTTTTGCAAAATACTGTGGTGGTAGAAACATGACTGCATTTGTCAGCACTCACAGAAGGTACATTTATTCTAACTAAGATATAATATATTATAAACCTAAGTGAAATTTACTGTATACAATTTTTAAAAAAATCAACCAGGATATGGGGAGATTCCAGTGGAATCCAGACTAACAAATCTGTGTTACAAATATATGACATAACCTGACTAAAATGGCTGGGGAAAAAGAAGCTGACCTAAGTAACTTTGGGAATGTGTTTTAACTGGATGCTGTAAGGCTAAAGCAAAATCAACTGTGCATAAATGCTTTTCTTTAATTGGTCACTATGTTTCAGGTAGGGGTATGAGTTAGCAGTTCTGGAACTACTTTACATGTATACTAAGGCTGAACAAATAAGTAAATAAATTGTAGCTAATGGAAGCCAGCTTTCTCACTGTCAGAGAAAGAAGTCACCAAAGAGCAAGCAGAGAAGAATGGAATGAATCCTGTGGTTCTAAATAAAGTTGGCAATAACAATATTAATTCAATGTGTGTTTATACATGTGTGTGGGGTATGTGCATGTGTGTGTCCCATTTGAGACTCAGAGTTTAGGGTATTTATTGGGGGCTAGTCCTAAAAGGCACTCTCTGCCTGGCAACTACCAAAATGTCGGACTCTGAAGGAAGCAGTTATTCAGTGCCTCAAGTGGGCCAAACAGCCTTGTATAGGAGACTTTTCATGTTGTTTTGAGGAACTTTTCACAAGCCAAGTTCCCAGATGTCAGGCAAGAGTCAATCAAGCAGCCTCTTCTAAAGATCTCAGCCTTGGGTTTGCAGTGTTGATTGTTTTCTGTGTAGGGCATAACAGACACAGGAACCAACCCAAAACCATCCCCCAATAACCTAAACTGGAACAATTTGAACAAGAAAATCAATAATTAGATTATTGGATTATGATCCAAAGAAAAAATATATAAAATATATAATTTCATTCCATATTCTATACAACAGTATGGAATGAGCACAAATAAGTAAATAAACAAATAAATTAGGGGAAGAAGAGCAAACCTTCCTTACAGAAAAATTCTAAACTATAAGTGTAGAAAGAATGAAGGACATTTAAAAATCACCATTAGAGCACCTTAGTAATAACTGCTGCAGGTAAGGTCCACTAAAATTAGTAGGTAAAACCTTAAGGAGAAGCAGCATATCTGTGTAGCCTCAAAGTATCTCATCAAAAATGTTTATTAATTATTGTGGTAGCTTAAATGTATGTCCACAAGTTATTTGATAATCCTCCTAGAAGGTAAAGTCTAATTCTCTTCTTAAGTATAGACTGGACTTATTGATTGTTTCAAATAACATTCTCTAATGGAATAACATCCATTCTCTAATGGAAAGGAGAAATGATAACTTTGCAGTAAAGAAACTGGTAGGCACTACCTTAACCAAGTGATCACAGTTAACATCATCAGTCAACAAGTCATGTTGATAATGTACCCCCAATATGATGTGATGAGAAGACTACTCTACCTCCATGATACCATTTTCCAAAAGTTCAGAATTCAGTCCAGTCATGAGGAAACTTCAGAAAAAGCCCCATTCAGGGAAATTCTATGAAATACTTGACCAGTGGTCTTCAAAATTGTCAAGATCATGAAAAAAACAAGAAAAGACAGAAACAGATTGAGGGAGACTTAGACGTGATAATTAAATGTAACACGGTCTCCTGCATTAGATCTCAGGACCAAAAAAGGAAACACTGGTGAAATATGAATAAAGTATGTAGTTTAATTAACAATATGGTACCAATAATTTCACAATTTCAATCACTGTATTGTGGTTATATAACATAACATTAGCAGAAACTAGATGAAAAATATCCATGAACTTTGTGCACTATATTTGCAACTTTCCTGTAAATCTGAACTTATTTCAAAATAAATGGTTTTTAAAAAGTACTTGTGGCCAAGTGCAGTGGCTCACACCTGTAATCCCAGCACTTTGGGAGGCCAAGGCAGGTGGATGACCTGAGGTCAGGAGTTCAAGACCAGCCTGGCCAACATAGTGAAACCCCATCTCTATTAAAATACAAAAATTAGCCAGGTGTGGTGGTAGGCATCTGTAATCCCAGCTACTCAGGAGGCTGAGGCAGGAGAATTGCTTGAACAAGGGAGACAGAGGTTGCAGTGAACTGAGTTCACACCATGGCACTCCAACCTGGGCAACACAAGTGAAATTCTGTCTCAAAAAAAAAAAAAAAACAAAAAAACAAAAACAAAAAGTACTTGCACTGGAACATACTAGCTAGTATCTCATATTAGCTCCCCTTGGTTAATTCACTTGATAATCAACCCCAGAGAATGATACTGCTGGGAAATCTCTTTTGTTGCTTCTACTCCAAATAAAAAGTGTTTCTAAGGACAAGTGATTTTAGTGGCATTTATAATTGCTTTAGCCTATTCAGGCTGCTATAATGAAGTATCACAAACTTGGTGGTTTATAAGCAGCAGCAATTTCTCAAAGTTCTGGAGGCTAGGAAGTCCAAATGAAGGCACCAGCAGATTCAGTGTCTGGTAAGGATCTGGTTCATAGGCACTTTCTCAGTGTGTCTTCACCTGGTGACAGGGGTGAGAGGTTTCTCTTCAGTCCCTTTTATAAGGGCACTAATCTCATTCATGAAGATCATGACCTAATCACTTCCCCAAAGGCCCCACTGTTGCTGAGCAAAAGGGCTCAGTAACAAAGGCACTAGAAGCCAATACTATGGCACCAGGTTTTTGAGAAAAGTTTTATTGTTAGTCAGTCAACAAGGAGAGAAGAGTCCAAATCAAATCTGTCTCCCTGTGCTGGATTTAAGGCAGTCATTTTATTAGAAAGGGTTTACGGGGTAGACTCTGGGATTAGTAGGTGATTGGTAAAGAGAAAGGGAGGTCTGGAAAGTCCTCAGGCACGCACAGAACTCTTCATGTGACCTCATAAATCACATTTGCAAATTTAGGGAACTTAGTAGGAAACATGGTGAAAATGAAAATGTTATTCTGCACAGACTCCAATTGACCATGTTGGTTCCAAGCAATTTCAGCCTTTTTTTTTTTTTTTAAATCTTACAAGCAGAGGGAGTTTCAGCATTTCAGCAAGTTGTTTCTTATCTGCCATCATACAAGCTCAAGAATTTCTGTTATTCACTGGTTTCTTTAACTCTGTGGCACAATTTCATCACCTAATAATACCATCCTCTTAAGACTTAGGATTTCAATATACGAATTGGGTGGGGACACATATATTCAGATCATAACAATAAGCTTTGCCCTTTAAATGAACAACATAATTTTGAGAAGATACCAGGCTGACCCTTTTAAAAGTTAGTGCTTTTTTGACCAGCATCAATTTTTAGTAGCTGAGGACACCTTGGTTTTATTGTCCTGTTAGTGGAGATTGGTTTTCAGAGTGTCATCATGGCTGGAGAACCCCATCTGGACATATGATCACTTAGGGGCAAGATGAACGAGGTACACATGCCCCTGATTTTACTGTGTAGGCCCTATACCTACTAGTTCAACTATCCAATCCTGCGTTTTAAGGCTGTTTTGATATAAATGATCCAGGATGTCTGAATCAAACCAACACTAAAATCAGAAATATCTAAAAATGAGGCATTGTAAAAACAATGGCAAATATTGTTTCAGTCTACTTCAGCCATTTTTTTTTTTTTTTTTTTTTTGAAATCTTACCACTGGCCCTAAGCATTCTAGGTGCTAGCAACATCAACAGCAGTCAAGTGAGAGGTTGGGGAAGGGTGGAGCAGCAACTTTGGAATATGGACTCGCAAAGCTGTTTTATATTCTTACCTGTGCTTCATCCTACATTAAAATGTTTTTTCCTTTCATTGGAAAAGAGCTTTGTAGTTTTACCTTGACTAAGCTCTTTCTAACTCAGTGGTTTTACAAAGCTACAGTCAAGTCATTTTTGCTTATTATTTGTGCTTCTACCTACTTCCAAAAAGGATCTAAGATGACTTATTCCCCAAACAATTGTGCTAACCTTGGCCTTCATTCTCTTCCAGACCATCTGTTCCTCTTTACCATGAAGTCATAGTACTATATTTGTGACAGCACAATCGTTTCCATGGCAACAGGATGTGGTCCTCATCACTGAATCCTGATTTCACTCTGACAAAGATCAACCATCAGGAGGATTGGGCAGTTTATTCTGACATTTTCTATTCTTTTTCAAGTTTAGTGTCTCTCTGAAAAAACTCCTACTTTTGATTCTCAAATTTTATACTCAGCCTAGAGTATATGTTTTTGCAGAGTTTGCATATAAAGTATTTACCCAGCAAACAATTAGACATGCAAACCAAAAATAATAATTTGAGAAAAATCACATAAATCTATACACATGCACACTATGATATATAAGCTGGCTTGAAAGTGAGATGATTAGCAAATGCCATTCTGGTTTGGATAAAAGAAAAAACAGTGAATCCATTTAAAAGACATGAAACTTCTAAGCCTAAGAAATTTGCTTTGATGACTGTGATAAGCAGTGGAAGGGAGCTGACCTAGTTCTTACTCAATGCTTTTCTTATCTTCTTTAGCACAAATAAGACACAAAAGGGCCTTCCCATGTGAGCTCAGACTATCTGACCAGGGAAAGACAGATGGACAACTTTATTCATATGAATGACCAATATCTGTATATTTTGTCCATTTGCTTTGATTGCACACAGCTTAATTACACAGTCTTTGGAGAAATTCCTTAGAATATTATCACTATGCTATGCAATTGAGTTAAAAGTGTAAACTTTAAAAAGGGAACTAGTTACTAGAGCATCAGAAAAAAGTACCTAATTGCTCCATTAATTTAGTAGCCTTATAGGACAGATGACAAGGACTGTTATAATGAGGCTCTGCTGGACATATAACATAGTATATATCATATCTATTGTATATTACATGTTACATGTGTTATACGTCATATGTATTACATAAGCTATATATGTCAGAGAAAAAGAGTAACTTGTAAGAAGTGATCATGTTCCCTTCTTCTGTTCTCCTCCGGCTTCCTTGTTGAGTCTAAGGGGTAAGCCAGGGAAAGAAATAGAGAGAAAAGGTGGTAAGGGATAGAAAGAAGAACTGAAGGGGAAGCTAAAGCAATTTACATTAAAAAGAAAACAAAGATAAGAATTGCTTGCAGTGGAAAAGATCTGGAAGGAAGGGGAAAGGGACAGAGAAAATAGGGAGGTGAGAGGTGAAGAGAATGACTGAAATCTGAGCAGGAACATTTGGACAACGGCTGCTCTGCCGTGGGGGGCTCTGGGGGGAGGATTTTGACTAAGTTCCATTGTTTGTGATGTGATGTGATTCATCATTTTGCAATTTTTCAAGAGTCTTCAGTGAAAATAAATTATTTTTCAAAGCTCTTTAAAGATGGATTTGTGATTCTTTTGAATGAGACAAAATATTCAGATGGACACTAATGCTACAGAAAGCCTTATTCTGATTTTACAAATACATATGTAATCAGTCTCTCTTGAGGAAAATAATAAGTGGTGCTACCATTGACGGCTATCTCTGATCCTTGGGGATTATGTTGACCAGAGCTGTCACAGTCCCAAATTATGTAATATTGGCAATAGGTACTGTCCAGAGATTGGTGGCAGTCCATGGTCTGGAGTTTCTAACTCTAATGAAACTAATTTCAGCCTTCAAAGATTTAGGAACTTAGATGAATCAAACGTGGAAGGGGGAAAAAGACACAATGATTGCTTCGGAGAGCCCTAGTGCCAAGCCAGTTTTTGAGGCCTAAGAGAAGGTGAGGGACAATTACAGAGAGCACCATGATACCTAAAGGACAGGCTTCACTGACAACTGTAGCATTAAGGCCTGCTCTAATCTCACACTGGTCTTAGTCTTATTATAGACTGTAGTTACTTCAAAAAATGCAGAGCCTTTACTCACACATAGGAGTATAGTAATAAGTGGGAAGGAAGTCCTTGTGTGAAGGTCATCATTCCTTTTGATGTCATCTATGTGATGATTCAGAAGAGGGGGTAAGGCAAAACAAGGTGGAAATGATCATCAGGATAGAAATGGGAAGCCACGGCAAGGGTAGGAAGGTTCGGCGATGCCCAAGTTTCCCACCTAACATTACTGCATGACATGTGCTGTGATAAAAAAGAGTTCTGTGGGAAGACAATTTTGGGCACACGGCATAATTGTTCTTCCCTTGGAGAAATACCTATTTCCATGTTATAGGCTCTGAAAAGTCCCCAACAAGAAGAAAATTTCTGTGTTAACTACTGTTGCCCAAACTTATTTGATCATACAACATATTTTAGCAACATCTATTCACATTCCAAGAGATTGGTATTATTCAGAACATACATTGACTAATTTTGGGGCAAATGATGTATATAAAATCACCTCATGGGTGGGCACCTGTTATCCCAGCTACTCGGGAGGTTGAGGCAGGAGAATCGCTTGAACCCGGGAGGCGGAGGTTGCAGTGAGCCAAAATC